ATCTCGTTATACCATAATTTTGTTTATTTCTAATTTATCTAGGGGTTTACAGTCAATCTCATTCTTGAAAAAATATGCAATCACACTAAGAAGACCATGTCAATTCATTTCAACGTAAATTATGCAATTGTACTAGGGAAACGTAGATGATCTCTTTCAAGGTAAATTATGCTATTACATTAGAGAGACCGAGTTCATCCTATTCTTGAAAGATTATGGAGACATCACCTTGAATATCACCTGGAGAAAAGAAAACATTGTTATTTTTAATAATTCAATTCATATACAAGAAACTTACATTCTTAGTCATTTACCATGGTATATTTTTATTTCCCTTTAATGTATAATCAACTTGATGAGATTATGTTGAGATCATGGTTTCAGTTCTAAGTGAGAAAGTAGAGTTTCTCTAATAGTTGTTGCCGTCATTATAGGCTTTTCAAAGTCTCGAGGCTCCAACTACTTTCGTCAACACAAGTTGTCGTACTAGGGGTTTTGGTATTAGGATAGTTAGGCGGCATAATTCATCACTATTGAGAAAACTAGGTTGTAGTTTAGTTTTTTTTTTAAAAAAAGGTTTAATTGTATTGAAGAAGAAAGAATTCACAAAGTGAACGAGAGGCATACCTTTCGAAGAACAGGAAACAAAAAGAAAAATCAATTGAAACAATAAACATTGAAACAATACAGAAAGGAAAAAGAAAAGTATTTGGGAATGAGTGATTTGTTTTTATATACCCCTCTTGCTTTATCATTTTATGTTTGGAAATCTATACATCATAGCTTTGTTGAAATGAAAAAAAGTTTTAATTATAAGAGTGGTCATTGGTGAACATAACTCATTTTAGTTGGACAAATGGTATGGAGATTCAGAGTTAATGAACTGTGTTAACTTGGTATATTAATTTGAAGAGCATTTAAGAATGGCAAATTTTATTCGAGATTAAGTAAGGATCATATGAAAAGGTTTTGTTTGTTTTTGTGGTGCAATCTTAGTTTTGTATCAATCATATATTTAAATGTGTGTTAATCTACATACACTTTAATTTTGTATAGATCCCATTAAAAACTCTTTTGAAACTTTAATTAGAAAAAAGCTACAATTCACAGCTTATTTTTAATCTATTTTTTCAAACCATAACTATAAAAACTATCACAATGACAAACACGCATGAAGAACATGCAAATAATTATTAATTTTTTTAATTGTATTTAATGAAGTGGTTTAATTGAAAAATAAAAATTCTTTGATAATATAATATAATGGATTAAAAAAAAGGATAATTACAAAAAATTCCTATACTTCAATCCATTTTTCATTTCAATCTAAATTTTGAGAAATTACGATTTGCCTTTTAAACTTTAGTAATTTCGTTACACTTTATATCCCATTTTTTTTGCTTTAAAATAAAAGCCATTATTTATAGTTTTTCCATTATAATAATTTTAATGACTTAAAAAAAAAAAGGATTGTGTTATTGTTGGACCTTTTTTTAAAATATTTATTGCACAATGTCCTACTATTTATAAAAATGTCATTAAAGTCATGCATATAATAGATCTAACAACAATTCTTGATCAAATGGAAGACAACCAAAAGCATAAAAGTTCACAAAAAAAAGTTTTTTATCAGTTTCAACCAAAAGCAACAGTTCTCTAATTTGTTCACCATTTTAACCTAATAAAAAAATCACTAAAACTGACATTAGGCACACCGATATGTTACAAAAATTTTCAGCAACACATCTACACCTTCCAGCAATTGTTCTTCATATTCCAATAACAATACAAATTTTGCAAACACACAATCCAAAATTACCAACCGAACATATAAATCCAACACACACATGTACACACACCACCAAAAATAATCATAAAATTACCACAATAATATAATTATATTCATCAAATACTAATAGCTTACAAACTTGCAATAGCTTGAATAGACTAAAGTTCAAGAATAGAAAGTGCATGAAATATGGAAAAACAGTAGTTATCATGATATAAAAAACAAATGTAAGTAAGAACAAGTTTTTCTATAAATGCAGTGATAGGTTATGCGAGGACACATTCATTGATTGGTGCAAATCTATTAATAATATCTAGTTAACCATTAGATAGGGAAAAGATATGATCGAATACTAAATGAAGTGAAGAAGACTAAAGATGAATTACATCGAGTTTGAATTAAGAATCACAATGTGAAGGCTAGTTTTATAAGTGCAAAGTTGTTACTAAGTTGTAATTTAGTGTGTAATTTTACTATTTCTAACTACGATATTGTTCATCATATTCAAATTAAATGAATAACAATAGTGAATTCATGCTCTAAACATCATGCATATTTAAGCAAAAAATACACTAAATATTATACCTCATAATGTATACTCCAATCAAGTAACAATCATTCATAATACATACTTCAATTAATGTAACTAATTTGGCTTAGGTGTTAAAATGATGATGTTCCAACATCATTGTAACTTCTAGCATCCATCACACATTTGCCAATATCCTTACACCTTTACTAGGATTCCTGACAACTATGCCAACACCTATAACACCCCTACTAACACCTTTAACACCTATGTCAAAACCCATAACACTCATGCTAGCTCTCATAACACCTATGTTAGCACCTCTCAAAGCTATGCCAACATCTATAACACTAGCATGATCCCTTCCAGCACCCCTTAGACTCTTTTTACCACTCAAACTCATAGTAACACAACTTGAACTTACAACACCATGGAATGGTCTAGATTATTCAGTAGTATTTCTTTGATCAATCCTTGAATTGTGTCTATATTGCTTGTATATATTGCACCTTAGAGAAGATGTTATTTTCCTATACCTTTTACCTATTAAATATAATGCAAATTTGCCTCTCATGTACTCCATTTCTTATAAAACCATCCAAGGCATATAAAAATCATCTCCAAGTGTTACTTTTTTTGCCTCCACAATGGTATACGCAATTGAAAATTTTTTATTATTGTCATCCAACCCTACCACTAATAATAAGACACCTCTATATTGATGTTTTAAATAACATCCATTAATGCTAATGAAAGTTCTATATCAATTGACAAATCCCTCCTTTTAAGCCTTCAAACACAAAATCTCTAAAACTTTCTTAATACCTTCAGAATTAGAATTAGGGTTATACCCTTTAATTAAGGTGTCTTTTCAAATGATAGTCATGTTTAACTTTGTGTTCTTTAAACACTTCCTAAAATTATTAACATTACAAAATATCTAACATTCCTGAAACTTAATTGATCCACCAACTCCCATTTAAAATATCTTGCGTTTAAAACTAAAGGTGGGATCAACCTTTGGCTTTTTAAGCTTGTTCTTGATTATTCTACTTTCATCTTCAGAAACCTCAACACTATTGTTTGATTTTGCACCAAATGCAATATTATCATCATCTCCATCGTAACTTATCTTTCATTCATCCTCTGATTTTAAACCACTTAATAAAATTTTACTAAAACATGCATTATCATCTAAGCTAGCAATTCATTCATCTTTTTTTTCATTAACAAATTCAAATCCTTCCTCATTATAAGGGATATAATTATCGTTTGTCTCCTCCTCCTTCTCATCTGCATATTTATCATCATCTTTGTAATGCACATTATTAGTGCTAACATTTACCTTTTTAGTTCTTTCACTTTCTAAATTGTCATTATCAAAATTCCTGATAAAATTAGGGGTTTTTATGTTTAGTTAACAAAACATGCATTATAAAAAAAAATAGTTTAAACATTACTACAACATTTAATATTATAATCAAGCTAGCTAGAAACCAATTAATATAAGGCTTTCAAGGCTTCAAGATAAGGTTTATGGTAAATTAAATTTTTATTATTATTTTGTTAAATCAATTGTATATTCACAATATTTTAACCATTACCCACTAATTTAACATAAAATAACATCATTGAATCACAATTCATTTAAAAAACTTACCTCGCCACTATTATTCATTGTTCCTAACATATAAGGGTGAATAAAATAGTTTTTGGCTTTGGTACTTGCACAAAGAAATTAAATATAAAAAAACAAATGGTCATGCTTTAAATATAGTATTTCTATATGAATCCATGTTTGCACACAGATAGAGAGACAGAGAGAAGAGAGACTAAATAGAGATATCATGTTTGAAAGAAAGAAACAAGTTTGTAAGAAAATTATATAGATTCACATTTATTATATACAAGGACAAATATATTTTCTTCTTTTTTAATTTGATTTTTCTCATTGACTACATAAACAAACTATAATTTCTTAAACCTTAGATTAAAAACAAAAAAATAAAAAATATTAAGGTTTGTTTTATAACTATCCCTAAAAAGAAATAATTTCAAAAATAATTGATGTATCATATTATAAAATAAAAAAACTTTAAAGATCAAAGAATTTTACCATGTTGCTTGAACATAAACAAAAAAGAAATTAGTGAAATTTGCATTTATTATAAAAATCTATCGAAATTAGTGAAATTTACATTTATTATAAAAGTCTATTAAAAATGTAGTTAAAGTTGCTTTTCAAAATTCTTTTTATTCAGAAATATATCACAATAATATTTTTTTTATTTTTTAAAAATTATTTTTTACATAAACACATTAAAATAATTAAATAAGAATAATAATAAAATATTAATTTAAAATAAAAAATAAAAATTAATTTTTATCTGCTACATGGCTAAAAGAGGTAACAAAATTGTTAGAAGAAAGAAAAAAGTGAAGAGTACAAAAATTTGCACCATAAAATGGAAATACCACAAAAACAAGCCAATTCCTCCTAGCATATTTTGCCACCGAAGCCTCAAGGCGGCGACAAGAAGAGACTTCTAGGCTTCTGGACTGCAGAATTTCTATCAAAGATGCCAGCTTTAAATTCTTTTGAAAAAGACCCTACAGCCCTCAATTTGTTTGTTGTGGAAAAAGCTTCCAAGCAAATACTAGATCCCCATGAACACCAACCACTTAACTAAAAAACTTTTTTGAGTTTGTTCATATCATATACCATTTCCCTCTTTTAACTTCAGTGTTCTTATTACAACTCAAGACTACACATTATTACTGTGCACACCAAGACAATACAGCACTACTGCTTCCATCTGATACATTCCTAACCTACTTCAGTTAATAATTAGGAGACTCAACAGGGACGACATTTACAAACAAATTTCAGCTTCTATTCAAATAGGATAACCGAGGTCGGCTCAAGAATTTGAAGGCATGAAAGAGTCATCATCCATTGATGTTCCAAGATCGACCAGCTCATCAAACTCGGCCATCACTTCAGAGTTGTTAGCCCATTCCCACATAGCCTGCAAGATTTACGGATCATAAAACCAATCAGATTAACAAAACAGTGTTTGCTTCACCTCTTTGAGAGCTCATGGTTGTCATTGAAACCACCACTTCTGAAATTCAGGAAAACATTTTCCCCTTGGTTTGCATGTCCACAGATTATGTGAATCTTATTCTGCGCTATAAAAGTGGAGGAGATTTGAAAAATTCATATCATCTCCCTTGGTTTCAAACCTAGTCCACTGATCGCTTTCTAGATAAAAATAAAAACCTAGCCTGCTCATCATAAACTGTTTAGTTCCAACAATGTTCTACCAAATTACCAACAAAAACCTGACTTGCATAGCATACTGAAGAGGACTGCACATCCCCCAGCAACTAATATAATGAATAGTATTTTAGAAAGTTCTAGTGTAATGACAACCCCTCACTGTTGTCTCCAATGCAAACAACTGTCAAGCAACTATAATGGAAAAAGAACAAAAATAATAATCTGTTACCTTGGCCTCCTGGATCTCAGCAACAACATTGCGCAGCCTGCAATACTGTTCTCTTGCCTCTGGGTGCTGATGCATGGATTTCACCCTTGCGAGGGCTATTTGTGATCTTTCTTCTGTTTGCCTTCTTCCTTCTTTAAGGAAATCATCATCGTCATCCTTCGACTGGACAACTTGCATGCTGGAA